ACTAGATCAAGTTGTGTAGTTCCCGCTCATAAACTGGCTTGAGAATGGTTCTCTTTCAGTATTGTTACACTCCTCATGGCTTTCTTTTACTTTTCAAAAGTCTGGGGGTCACTTTTCCTCACCGAAAGTTATCCTTCTTTAATTTTTTCATCAACAGCCGCACGATAAAAATACCATCCTTAACGAACTTCCGATAGTATCCTGTATGTCCCATAAAACTTCTCAACTCCTTCAAGCCTTAGGAAGTGACCACTCTAATATAGCTGTCACCTTCGATGGATCCATCGACACCAAGGCTTTGCACGAACTAGTGTCACTATGAAGCACTATATTCTTCCCTTCCACCCCAGTCTCCATAGTAAGGGATTTCCAATCCACAATTGTCTCTCTGATCATTCATAGCCACTTCATTCTTAGAATCACATTTGTATTTCTCAATTCCAAGAGAAAGAAGTCCTCCACCGCCTATAGATATTGTAGTGTCAATATTAATCTCATACAAATTTTTCTGTTTTTCTTTTACCAATGGTACGATCCAAGATAATTTTTTCTTACTAAGAAATATTTTATTGTAAGAACATCAAACAACTCAACATGAATACACAAGCTAAGCAATTACAATTCGAGAGGTAGGCGACTCTCATAAATCCTATAAATCGGAAGGTAGGAAATCTCTCTAAGACTGACAACTACAATCTCATGGATGCCTCTAACCCTAAACATATTAGCCCTACTTATACTAAATAATAATGAATTAAAAAACTAAATTGCCCTTAGAAACTGGCATAACAAACTTACATTGGAGGCTTTGCATATGATTACAACTTCAACAAATTTTATTTGAAACATATTGTTTTTGCTATGAATGCAAGAAGATACACCCATTAAATTACATCTTAATGAATTTAATTATATTATTATGGTTTGAGAAATATAGATACATTGATTATTATTGAAGACAACGGTATATCACTTGTGATCTATACTTTTTTTTCAACAATTTGTGTTCCTAGTTATATGATAGAGATGCAATTTTCTTACAAGATGGTAAAAGTTTGCTTTACATTTTTATAAATATTTCATTTCTTAGTTCTAGGGTACCAGAGATGATAAATTGGTTGACAAATTATTAATTAGGCCAAGACCTATTGGGAATTAATCTGCCTCTTGTCAGGATAGATGCTTACTTCAATTGTACGAAGAAATGACACATGAAGAGAGATTGCCAAACTTTAAAGAAGAGTTATATGCAAATGACAATCACATGAATGGTAAATCAGTAGATGCTGATATTACAAGAAGAAATGACACATTAAAAGCGATTGTCAAACTTTAAAAATGGCATTGCATGCCAATGAAAATCGCATGTAGAATATGTCAACAGTGCTAATTGCTAATATTATTGTAGATTGGTCGGGTATAACTTTTAATAATGCTCTTTTAGTGATTGTTAGAAATAGATAAATTAATTAATGAATTATGGATTTATCTTGTTCACACATTATGTCATTGTAAGAAATTATTTTTATCTTACAAACTGTGTTGGTGATTATGTTTATATGAAAATCGATTTAGTGTGCACTAGAACAATGAATTTAATTAAGCATGATACTATGATTAAAGCATTAACCTGAGTTGGGCATGCATCAGGCTTAAGAAAAAAAATTGATATATTAGAGTACTCGTTGAAGCAAGATGAAAGTACTTAGGAGATGCTGAAGCCCTTGTGTTCTACAAGGGCTTTTTTTTTCTTATGAAAGTAAAAGTCTCTATTGGACTTTTATTTGGAAGGGTGCAACTTTATATAGAACTATTTCAATTTTATTTACATCTATGCTAAAGCACTATGATTTGGAGAACTAAAAGTTGTCAGATTCTTGTTTGCATGTTAGGCTATAAAAGAGGGCTCATGTTGAGGTAGGATTGCTGATGATGATCAGATGGATCAATCTCATATTACATAGCTGATTGAAGTGTGAGATCATATCATTATATTATTCAGGTTCAAAAGACAATCAGTTTGGTTCCATGAAGATTTAGTGGCAGGTGACATTTTGATATTAGTGAATCCATCTTGATGTCCATCGTCCGTGCTTCAGAAGCTGCAATACTATTAAATTAAGGCTCCATTTGGGTTTCTTGGTGTTGCATGTTCTCAGTCCTTGGGGATTTTTGAAGCCTAGTTTAAACAGGAAAAACATGAGAGATCTGAAATTTATTGCTGTACTATTAATTCAAGAAGAGATTTGTTGGAATTTGAATTATTGAGTTTGCCAGGATGTATAAAATTTAAAATAGGTAATGTCAGAATAGATACAATTCCTTAAATAGTAGTAAAAAAGTTCAATCAATCTCATTCGAAATTTTGTGAGAGAAAACAGCTTTAACAAAGCCTGACGCTATTTTTGTAGAAGCACGGTGTGAGGTGATCCAATCCTTATAATTTTAACCATCGTAATTATTGCAATGAAATTTTTCTATAAGTTTGAAAACAGGCAGATTGCTTTTTTGCAGCTGAAAGCACACGTAATACTGGCTTGGAGATCATGACAATAATACTGGATTTACTCATCTCGCATGAACTTAAAAAATGGAGAATCATTTATAAGAAGTTTGATGAATGATTTCCCATTAACTACTTTTACATAATTATTTAAGAAAATGGCCCAACTCCAAGTTGTTCAAGAATATTGACATTTTCTATGAAGTTGAGGAATTGACCTTAAGAAGAAAAGATGTACATGCTGCTGTGGCTGCATCTGTCAAGGCACAAGATATTATTCTTTTACTTTTATTCATAATATTATTGAGCTCCCTTTTGAAACACTCTTGTGGAGCTGAAGAAGGTGGACTCACTATCGGTAAAGCTAACCTTGCCTTTCTGATTAGCAATTATTTATTGTTTCACTAAACTTCTTGAATGAAGTATAGTTTGCTTAATTAATGTTTAGACGTTTGTTAAGATGGTTCAAAGTCAAATTTTAACCCTGGTTTGGATTTCAAATCTAAACTTTTACGAGGAAATTTGAATTACAGGAGAGAGCCGCAAGGCAGTTGGCTAGTTCTTGAGTAGAAAATTCCATATGTATTTGTGGGCTGCGGTAGAGTGTAGGAATCATGTTATTTTACTGTGAATATTTTCAAGTAATGAAGCGTCAGAGAAAGGCGGATGGGGGAGAGAGAGAGAGAAGTTGTTAAGAAATAAGGAAGACGATGAAAGAAAAAGATCACTCTCCTGTTTGTTTGTGAGTATGGATTTGTGGGGCAAGCACATTTGGTGCTAGAATTAACACGATGGTTTTATAGATGACTGATGGTGCTGTTTAGAAAGGTTTGCGATGGGAGCTTTTTAGTGTAGTTTATATCTTATCTATTTTTCATCTTGCATCTGTAGTGTAATTCTTATATTTTGGCTTGAGAAAGTTGGGTTTTTTTCATTTGTAGTGAACTGGTTTGGGGAAAATAATTTTCATGTGCCCCTTTTATTATTTGTATGCCTATGCGGTTTCTCGTGTTACCAAGTTGGATTTTTTTTTTCTCTCGCAGGCATAGGCCTGTTTGGCACATTGATCGTGCAGTGCTTGATATATCTGTTATTATTTTGTTTGTTCATGATATCTTCTCTTAGAAGGTGCCTCACATAAAGGGTAAACTTTTATTAACATTAGTTGATACGACATCAAAAGAATTCATGTCATGATTTTTTCGAATTTTTTCGATAAGTTTTTACGTTGGTTGTCGACTATCTAACGCAACCCTCCACTTTTCATATCCGGTTTTGAGACCGACAATGACAGAGTTAGATGTTTTAGATTCGACTTATGTTAAGAAAGACAGAGGTAGACCTAGGAAGACTTGGGCTTACTATATAAAAAATGGTCTTAATTTATTAGAATTAAATGAAAGTATGACACTAAATAGGACGCAATGGAGAAAAAGGATTCATGTAGCCGACCCCACCTAGTGGGATTAAGGCTTTGGTGTTGTTGTATTAGTTGGTACGGCGTCATTGTATGCCTCCTCATGCGTATGATTATTCTCACCATTTGCATGTTATGTTCATAATGTTGACCTTAGTGATGATGATGTCCATGCTTTGCATGAGGTATTTGTGATTTAAGTTGTGATTGGATATGGTAATCCTATTTTAACTTTTTGAGTCAAACAGTGACACATCAGTTTTTCTCAAAAAGCATTGTCCTAAAATTTTCAGGCTAATAACATATTGCATAAAATATGATAATTGCAAACTATTATACTGAAGGTCCTGGTGAACTCAGCTGACTTCACATGCCATTTAGATCTCTTTTGTTCTCCTTAGGCTTATGCGTGAATTTTTTTTCCTCAAAATCTTTTACTTCGCCTACATATTTGTTTAAAATTTTATTTTGCCCTACTAATGCTTGAACCTTTTGCAAATCACTTTTATAGGACGAAAATGTGTAGGAAAATTATCATGCATATCGCACAATTCTTGTGCGTTTACGTTATCTAATGCCTAACATTTGATATTTACATATATAACACTTACACTTTTAAAAAATTGTATAATGGTATTTTTTATGCCATGTTAAAGGTTTGAGTGTTTTATATATTTAAATATTGAAGTTTAGGTGTTAGATATTCAAGTATGTATATGAATCGTATGATATATGTGAATCCTCCTGAAATATAATGCTGCATACTCGTATGAGTAGTAGTAGTGTAATACACATGTTCGTTGAACAACTGTTTTTGAAGAACAATGGATGATGAAGCATCCTATCATCACTTTGTCTCGCTATCACATCTATTGGGAGCTGCTAAAAGCATTCTATGTAACCAAAAAAATAAAAATAAAAAAATGCACATGCCTATGCTCTGCACCAATTTTACCAAAATTGAGATTCAGATAAAATTGTTATATATTGTTATCATATTCCATGAACATCATATGACACGTTCTCAAGCATTTCTCGGATTAATCTGTACGGTGAAAACTTGTTCTCTTATTCTTGCAGGGAATGAAGTTTTACTGTTGGCGAACTGTCTCATTTTGTGCAAAGCTAGTTCTGGATGCTGTACGGTTTACTGCGCGGATAATTGAGTAAATGGAACTTTTTTGATTAAGCAGAATTTCTTACCTTTACCTAATATTGTTTTCTTTTGCTCCGTTTGAAGCCATTTGTATTCACATGAAAGATATTCTGCTTTTAACGCTTCTCATTTTCTTCTCTTCCCAGTAATGCTAATTTTTTGTTTTCCTCTTGATTGTGGTAACCAATTTATTTATCTTAAAATAAATTGAATAATTTTGAGAAGTTCACAAATCTTTTTTCCTATTTGATTTTATTTTTGTTGTTGTACGGTCTAAAATTTTTATAATTTTCAATTGTATTCATACATATGAAATGACTTAAAATTGTGTCATGATAAGGTTGGCATCAAAATCAATGGAAATAGCAATGAAATTGTTTTGACGCATTTAATCATTTAAGGTTTTCAATTCCAGCTATGTTCAATGAAATATAATAAAAATTGTTATACATATTTTATTAGTTTAAGAATTTCAGCATTACAAAAGAAAAAAAAAAGAAAAATGAAATTCTTTGTAAATTCAGCAATTGCAATGGGAGGAATTCGGGCTATATATTAAAGTATAAAAAAGTAAATTAAATTGAAATCTCAAAACTATGGGTATATGGGTACGTGAAATCTCAAAACTATGGGTATGTGAAATTTATATATTTAATTTTATATATAAATTAAATTGAAATAAGCTCGTGTTCGAAATTGTCCGTGAAGTCATTGTTCATGTTTGTTTCTTAACGAACGAGTCGAACACGAGTTGTTCGCGAACGACGAGTCAGATTGACATCCCTAATACTAATGTATATAAATAATTTGAGTTAAATAAATATATAATTTTTATTAGTATATTATTAATATAGTATATTAATATATTATTACTATTAATTTATTATATATAATAATTTATAAAATTTAATTTATAATATATAATAATTTATAAAAATATCATAAATTTTTTATATATAATTATTTTAAATTATTTTATATTTTTAATAATAACGATTCGAACATGAACGAACGCATAACTGTCCGTGTTTGGTTCGTTTAACTAACCGAACGAAAAAAAATGTGTTCACGTTCGTCTCGTTTACTTATCGAATGAATCGTATACGAACATATTGACGAACTGAACAGGAATTATTCGCGAACAACGAGCTTTTTTGACAACCCTAATCTGGATAGTTTATAAAATGTCTTTTTATGAATTTATTAAAAGAAATTCTTTGTAAATATGCACTGATAGTTTATTTATTTTCATTGCCTTTTTATATATAGTCAAACTTTCTATAATTTATAACTTCACTTGAAGAGCATTATAGTTCTCATTAATTATTATTACTGGACTGCATGAATTTGATTTTTGTTTGAAATTTTTCTCTTTAAATATTGGTTTTATTCTCTTTGAAAAATGATCAAATTATTTAAACTTACTAAAAAATCATAATATCAATATGAATAATTCAAAATTATCAATCAAATATTCATAATTCATGTTAAATAAATAAATCATTTAAAATCTAATAATTTAAAATCAAATAATATTAAATTTAAACATTGGTTAAAAAAAATTTTAAAAAATTAAGCATGGTCGGCCACGGAAGTATCAAAACATACTGTCTGTCATTTTAAACAATAAAGATAAATCACCAGTCATTTTTCAAAATAAAGATAATCAACTATTTTTATGAGTAAAGACAAACTGTCATAACATTTTTAAAATGAAGGCATACCATCGAGCTTTTTTAAAATAGAAGAGGATTGGGGAGTGCATGTGGTTGAAAAAATAGAGACTTTGAGCTGACAACCAGTAATGATTATCATATAATGCTTAATAATTTTTGAAACAAAAGAAATAATGTTGAAAAAAATAAATTATTTATTTGGTATCTCAAATAAAGATAAATAAAAATAACAAAATAATTATTATCATGGCTCAATTGATTTACTTTTGTGGAAAAAAATATATATTGTATAACATGAATCACAGATAATCTATTTTTTTTTCTTTATAATATCTATTTCTAGGAGCTAAGGAGTTTAACAGCAAAAAACTTTATATTTCATATCACACTCTTCTCTCTCTCCTTTCTCTTAAGAGAATACAATGTAACTTAGGTAAAGATAAATAAACAATTTGGTTAAAACTAGGATTTATTTAAATCTAACTTGTAGATCCATTACATATGGATTTATCAAATCTAGAAGTTCTTAAATTCATAATAATATTTGACTAATTTATGATTATATCTAATTAAATTGGTTTAACATGTTGGACATGTTATTTCAGGATTTAACAATTGATTTTTAAATAGTATGAAATATAAGGCCTAAACATTTAACGTGATATATTATGTTCAAAAGTAAAAAAAAAAAAAAAATTTAAAAATAAATTTATAAAGAATCAATATTAAATGTTGAAGGACCTAAAATCTAATTCAACTTTCCTCTCTATGACCATCTCAACCACCTTAGAAATTAGTTTTCTCAAGGTTCCTATTAGCTTCCATTTGCATGCTAGCATGTAATCCCACGATATGATTGGTTGCTCTTCCTCCCACTAATGAATCTGCAATGTGGTGTTGAGGATTTCTTTGCCCATTTTCTAATCATGTTCTTTCATAAAATCCTATCTCCAGTGCCTTTCTTCTTCTTTGTAAACTACCACTGTAGAACTTTTTTTACGGATTGTTTTCTTCTGTTTTCTCAAGGTTCCTATTAGCGTCCATTTGCATGCTAGCATGTAATCCCACGATATGATTGGTGGTGTTGAGGATTTCTTTGCCCACTTTCTAATCATGTTCTTTCATAAAATCCTATCTCCAGTGCCTTTCGTCTTCATTGTAAACTGCCACTGCAGGGCCTCACCACTTGGTAAGTCCACCCATAATTAAAATTAGATGGGCATGAAGTAATAAGAAAAATGATGTTATACTCCAAAGAAAATAATATCATTTCATATTTTTCTATATAAAAAATGGTTATATATCGTGTCTAATGACTCATTAAATTTATCTGAGGATAAGTATAAATTAGTGATTTAATTATAATTCTTTTATTAAAAATAAGATTACATTTATTTTAAAAAAAATATAACAATTTTACTTGTAAGACAATTTCCCCCTAGGTTTCTTTTGACCTATACATAGACATAAGGAGTAACATATCTTTGATTGACAATAATTACATAGGAAATTATTTAGAAAATTCATGATCACCACGATCCCCGAATCACAAAGGCATGAGCCTCATTATCTTGAAGGAAATTTCGAGATTTTTCCTGCTTTATTTGTTTTATATGCCTACGATTTATTATATTTTATTAGGATTCTAAGATTCAAATCGACATTGTGAAACAACAAAGCTAGATTCACCGGATTTGTAGGCTAACAATTTTCTATTAAAATAATCGATACGCAGTACTCTTTAATTGCATTACTGCTTGACACGTGCACTTGTGTTGTGAGGCTGACTTACATCCTGATAAGTTTTGACACGTCAAGTTTTTGGCACCGTTGCTAAGGAAAGTAATTTTAATAATTGTTTCTTCTTATAGAAAAACTTTAGTTGAAAAATATAGGATCTAAGTTTAGCATTACTATTTCTTATTACTTCTTTTATTTTTTTATTTTTATTGCCACGTCTGTATTTGTATTATGTTTTTTTTACAGGTTTGGAAAAATTTGAAAGCTAAAAAAAATAAGGAAGAGAAAAAGCCAAAAAACCAAAAAAATTTTGTTGTTAATTTAATCTCTATTTTCTTTTATTTTTTTTTCGTGTAGTGTATACATTTGCATGTGAGATTGTTGGCTGACTTGTGCGGGTAAGTGTGATTGTGTGTTGTATATTTTAGATTTTTGTTTATGCTAATAAGAGTTGAGGCTAATCTCACCTCTTTTAACCTTGAGATCGAGCACTCTTACACGTCTTAGGAGATCACACTTGTTTCCTGAAACACTTGTTGAGATGGTTGAACCTGCACCCCCACCTAGAAACTACTAAGGGAGTACACCAACCCTTTTGTTGAGGAGATCCACATGAGCATAAACTACCAATCTATTGAAGCCAATACTTTTGAACCGCAACCTACCATAATTCTATTAGTTCAAAACAAATCATTTAGGGGATTTTCCACTAAAGACCTCAACTTGTTGAACTGTGTGCTACCTTCCAGAACAACAATGTTCCCAACAATGTTGTTAGACTAAGAATTTTTCCGTTGTCCCTGAGGAATAGGGCTAAGGTTTGGCTTAAATCCCTTGGCCCAGTATCAATCATGACATGAAATGACTTGGCCCAAACATTTCTAGCTAAATACTTTTCTCCATCCAAAATTACAAAACTTAGGAATGACATCACCTCATTTAACCAAATTGATGGAGAGTCTATTTTTGAGCCCTGAGAGAGATTTAAGGACTTAGTTAAGAGATGCCCACATCATAGCTTACCATATTAGCTAATCAATCAAACCTTTTACAATGGACTGGTAGGTCCCTTAAAGTCCATAATAGATGCTGCTACAGGAGGGTCATTACTGTCCAAACCTTTTGATGAAAGCTGCCGATTGATAGATGAAATACCAATATTAATTTTCAATGACCTAAGAGAGTTACACCCAAAAGATAACCAATGTTCATAAATTTGATTTCTTAGCTATCCCAACCACCCAAGTAGCTATAATTTCTAAGAAAACTAGACAGGCTAGGGATGAATCCTATGTATGGACTACTACCTAATAAAGTGTTAGATCAAGGACTGATGATAGATCCTAGAATCTCCACCTTAGAATCTATGAATGCCATAGGAAATCGTGGTCATAACTTATATTCCAACACCTACAACCCAGGCTGGAGGAACCATCCCAATTTCTCTTGAAATAAAAATAACCAGCAAAGGGGAAACAACAAGAACAACCATATAGGTAGTTTGCAAAGACCAAAAAATCAACTGAAAACCCCTAACATCCATCAGGATTCCATGTTAACTCCTAACCTCAAAAGAAGTCACCTGTTGAGGAGTTAGTTATCCAAATAAGGAATACTTTACAGAGCTAAGTTGTAGCCAAAAAAAAAATTAGAAACTTAATTAGGACAACTTAAAAACTCAATAAACAATAGATCCTCAGGAGCACTACCCAATAATACTGAGATAAATCCAAAAGTCTTGTGAAATCTTCCTTTG